CACTATCAAGTTTTAAAGCATAGAATGCAGCAGGACTGGCCTTACAGATATCTTAGCTATAATATTATATAGTTAGTAAGAGTTGCTCTATTTAAAATATATAAATAATTGAGAATGCAATAAAAATGGGTATTGTCTTGGAAGCAATAAAGTTTTGTCTTTTAAAATATTTTATTAAATAAAAATATAAATATAGACATATAAAAATGAAATAATCCATTATACAAATTTACAGCAAAGTTTATGAGTTTATAATTGCAAGTATATGCTTGCAATACCAGTAAAATTGAATAACATACACTTTTGAACAAGTCAACTCTTAGTCTTAATAAAATGGAGCAGCGTCCTTGCACCTAAAACTCTCTACTGTGCCTCTAACATTAATAACAAGAGACATTCTGGATAGGGCATTCACCAAATAAACCAGGTGCTCTGAAGCCAGGGCTGGCCAGGCCTCTTTTCCAAGATATACAGACTTAATAACGGGACAGGCACTCTGGGACAACAAAAATAGCAGCTTTATTGGGGCAAAAGCAGCAACGTTTAGACCCTACCGGGTCTTTATCAAGCTTGATAAAGACCCGGTAGGTTCAAAACACTGCTGCTTTTGCCCCACAAAAGTTTCTATTTTTGTTATCCTGGAGTGCCTGGACCGTTATTTATTCTAATATTAATAAACACACATATTTATACTCTAGATTTCCAATTAGGTCATGTTAGGAAAATAGAAAAACAAACCTAATCTATCTTAGCTTGAACATTACATGACATAGCCTTGACTTAATTTCATATGGGAACATCTTAATTAGTCTATTGTCATAGCCTAGACATCTTATGTATGTTTATACTAAAACATAAGACTGGACATGACGTAGGTAAGGCTCTGACTTTGTGTTACACTAACCTAGGACAAGATGGCGTCTTAAAGTCTAAACATCATATTTACTGACTCTGGGTAAGAGGTAATTTATTAAAGAAATACAGAGCTTCTTATTTTTCCTCCTCATTCAGTTTCCCTGTAAGTTGATGGTACCTGCATCAGTCCATCCTTGCAAGCTCGCTGTCTTGGTGTTATCTTTGATCATGGTCTCACCTTTGTGCCTTATATCCAGCATGTTGCTAAAACCTGTCCATCCCATCTTATAAACATTGCGCACATCTGGCCCTTTCTTACACAAGATGCTGCCAAGGAGCTTGTTCAAGCGTTTGTAATTTCTTTCATGGATTACTATAATTCTCTCCTAACTGGTCTTTCCAGAAGCCGTACTGCTACACTACAATTTGTAATGAATGCTGCTGCCAGGCTGATCTTCCACTGCTCTCATACCTCATCCCTCTGCTGATTCTTACACTGGCTTTATGTATTCAATAGGTGTCAATTCAAAATACTAACTGTTACCTATAAAGCTTTAAAACACTCTGGCCCCGATTATATTTCTTCACTGATTCATAGGTGTGCCCCTTCTCAGTCTCTCCACTCTGCTGGTGACCAGGGCCGCCACGAGAAATTT